AAAAAAAAAGACTGTTCAGACTATAAGTTCTCTAAGGGCAGGGCAAAGCTGCATTCATTTTTTTATTCCTCAATAGGAATATAGCCTGGCATGTAGGTGATCTATGAATATTAAAAAGATTAATGTAGTTGGGTATGGTGGCACATGCCTGTAATCCAGAACTTGGGAGGCTGAGGCAGAAGGATCAGGAGTTCAAGACCAGCTTGAGCTATATAGTGAGAACCATATATCAAAAACCCAAAAAACAAAAAAGGGTTAATTTAAATTAACATTACAACCTTGGATGTTTTCCTCATTTTGTAAGTAAGAAAACTAATATTCAAAATAAGCATGTTGGCATGGTCACAAAGCTAATATGCCACAAAGCTAAGGCCAGAACTCACAAATTTTTGTTATCACTTCGAGTGACATCTCATGCCCCAAAATCATAGAGTTGAGGACCAACCTTTAAATTGCCATGGTGCTGCTGGGCAGAGCAGGAAGCAGTGAGTAACCATGCAGAGCAGAGCAGCGGGTTTCTGGGAGAGTCCATCTCTGTCCAGGTGAGTGCCAGCATCTTCTCCAGAAGCTCTATCAGGTCCGTGCAGCTCAGGAGCACAGCCGCAACTACAGAGGAAGATTATGGCAAGGGCCACATAGTTACATAGAAACCCGAGCTCAATGCTTGCATATGCCCAGTACCTAGTAGAACTTCAAGCATACAAAAACAAACACAAAGAAATAGCATGAGGCCCTAAGAGTCCCAGCATCACCAGAACACAGGTTATCAGCACCTGAGTGGACCCATGACCACTAGCCTCACATGAATCCTTAGTTGTTTTCTTTTTTCTTTTTTAAGATGAAACAATTAAGCTGGGTGCTAGTGACTTACACCTGTAATCCTAGCTACTCAGGAGGTTCAGATCTGAGGATCGCAGTACATAACCAGCAGGGGCAGGAAAGTCCGTGAGACTCTTATCTCCAATTAACCACCAGAAAACCAGAAGTGGTGCTGTGGCTCAAGTGGTAGAGCACCAGCCTTGAGCTGAAGAGCTGAAGGACATGTGCACCCAGGCCCAGAGTTCAAGCCCCTTAACCAACCAAAAAAGAAAAAGAAAAGAAACAATTGAAAATAGTAAGGGCCCCTAACACTGCCCATTGTTCGCTTCACCATGTCTGCCTGGGTCCCTGTACCTCTTTTCTGACTGCTGGGCGTAGTCTGATGAAGGCTCCAGTACAAGAAGTTGAAGGAAGGTTGTAGAATGTCCACGTCAGAGGGGCTGCACTTCCCACACAATTTGCTCACTGCAAGAAACCAGAGTTCCTGGGCTGGGAATGTGGCTTAGTGGTAGAGTGCTAACCTAGCATCACTGAGGCCCTGGGTTCAATTCCTCAGTACCACATAAACAGAAAAAGCCAGAAGAGGTGCTGTGGCTCAAGTGGTAGAATGCTAGCCTTGAGCAAAAGAAGCTCAGAGACAGTGCCCAGTCCCTGAGTTCAAGCCCCAGAACTGGCAAGAAAAGAAAAGAGAGAGAGAGAGAAGAAAGAAAGAAAGAAAGAAAGAAAGAGAGAGAGAGAGAGAAGGAAAGAAAGAAAGAAAGAAAGAAAGAAAGAAAGGAAGGAAGGAAGGAAGGAAGGAAAAAAGAAGGAAGGAAAGAGAAACCAAGAGTTCCCAGGTGAAAGAAAGAAAGAAGGAAGGAAGGAAGGAAAGAGAAACCAAGAGTTCCCAGGTGACCCTATGGCATAACAGTCTATGGGCTCAACAACACACCAGCATGCACACTTCTCTAGATGAAAGCCTACACCTAACTAATTTCAAAATGTCAGTCTTGGAAAGCATGCCCAAATGAAATGTCTCTGACATGGCACCCATGTGCTAACCTGAAGGCACATTCAGACCCTCCATCTGGTCTAACCATATAAGTAGCCCACAGAATCACAGCAACCAGAACAGACAGTAGTTGTTCCCAAACAAAGTGATTTAAGCTGGTCAAGGGCATATGACACCACAGACTTCAGGATGCAAAGGGACTCAGAAGTCATCTAGGCCAATATGCTACCTTAGCAGGTGTCCCTAGACCATCCAGTTTTCCAATGGAACTCTGTGATGGTGGTGGATATGCCGTTCCTTACCTTGGCCATATTATCTCCTCATCCCTGTTTCTTCTCTTTTTTTATTTTTGAGACAGTGTAATACTATGTAGCACAGGCTATCCTTGAATTTGGGTTCCTCATAGCTAAGCTTTGTTACTGCTAGGATTATAGGAATGTTCCATCACACCCAGTGGCTGTATTCTCTTTCTTGTACCACCTCCTTCTGGCTAGTTCTGTAACTCTCATTCGATAATCAAGATTCAGCTCAGGCCAATTTTCCTAGCACTCAGGAGGATGAGTCAGGTCAACTCTTAGTTCAATGCCAACCTGGGCTATATGGTAATCCCCTTGTCTCAAAAACAAAAGACAGGTATGGTGGTATATGCTTATAATCCCAGCTTACTCAGGAGGGAAAGATCAGAATTGTGAGCCCAGACCAGCCTGGGAAAAAGGTTAGTAAAATGCTATTTCAACTAATAAATCAGGCATGGTGATGTCCCTCTATAATCCCAGCTACTGGGAAGTTTAGGTAGGAAGATGGTGGTTCAAGGCTGTTCCCAAGAGAAAACTCGAAGACCCTGTCTGAAAATTTTAAACAAATACACAAAAAGGACTAGGGGTATGGTTAAAGTGGTATAATGACTGCAAGCAAGCTCAAAGCTCTTGGTTCAAAACCTACTGCTGCCAAAAAAATAAAAATAAAGAAGATTCAGGTCAAACTTTAACTCCCCAGTGAAGTTCCTATAACCTCTCCAGATTGGATGACTCTTCTGCACTCCTCCACAATAGAGAAGTTATGACACTGAAGAACAGACAGCAACAGAACATATCCTTCTCCAGGGAATTGTCACTCTCTCTATAACAATATAAAACCTACCCAAGGCTCTTTTTGGCAGCCACATCACATCAAACTGATTTGTCTTGTGGTCAGCTGGACAAGCAGGTTTCCCTTCCCCCTACCAACATGTTTACCCCTTAAGCAAAGTCCTCTGCACCCAGTGTTTTCTAATACAAGTACTCAAGAATGTGAGTGTGCACTATATTTCACATTCAGGTTTCATCCTGTTACTCCTTGTCAGCTTTTTTTGGTGCCAATAATGGAGTTTGACCTTAGCCCCTGAATGCTGCCCCTTAGCTTTTCCTGCTCAAGACTGGCTCTCTTCCACTAGAGCAACAGCTGCACTTCTGGTTTTTTGGTGGTCAGTTGGAGATAAGAGCTTCATGGACTTTCCTGGTGGGGATGGCTTTAAAACCTCAATCCTCAGCTAGGATTACAGGCATGAGGCACTGACACCCAGCTTGTCAGAAGCTCTTCCAGGTTGATTTTTTTTTTTGTCAGTCATGGGGCCTGAACTCTGGGCCTGGGCACTGTTCCTCAGCTCTTCAGCTCAAGGCTAGGTCACAGTGCCACTTGAGCCACAGTGCCACTTCCAGCTTTTTCTGTTGAGGAATCAAACCCAGGACCCCAGGCATGCAAGGCAAGCACTCTGCCACTGAGCCACCTTCCCAGCTCCATTCCAGGTTGATTTTTATCACATACAGATCGCTCTCTAGCTTGATGTCAACCTTGATCTGACAGTAATAATCAGCACTGAGCAGAGGCAGGGTATGGAGAAGTCCCCAGAGGTCCTCTCTGAGCCTGTCTTGATCCCTCAAGGTTTGGACTCTAGGTGAGGAAAGCTACTCATTCTCACCTATGGCCAAAGAACCTAAGTGCATATATTTTGAAAACATTTTTCCTTGCCCTTTCAATCTTCCTTCAATAATTCTTTCTACAGGCACTGCCTATGAAATAGCGACTACATGGATAAGCAATGGAAAGGTCACAACAAGGTCTGGTGTGTGGGAAGGAAAGGTTCCTAGAGAACAGTGGGGTCAGCTGGGTCAGCAGTGGGATGACGTAGAAAGCTGTCCTAGTGCCAGGAAACACGAACTGATACAGGCACTATATGGACATTCCACATCTACCAGATTACATATTCCTATCTGAACCCTAAGCTAGGAAATACTGTTATATCTTACCTGTGAGGAATCTAGGTTTGGTGCATGCAAAGTTACTTCAAGAGGTCTTTTGGACTCCATGGCGTGTGCCTGTCACACTCTGATTTTGAGGAGGTGTTGTGGGGAGGTTTTTCAAACACTTGTTGGCAACAAGCAAAGGAAATCTTAAGAGATCTCTCAGCCCTGGAGGACAAAATGAACCCCCATCTTCTGCCAAAAGGGTAAAAGAGTGGAAAAATGAAGAAACACTAGCAGTACTGGGTTCCACCACACATCAGCCCTGGGTCCATGGGCACTTTCTGAAGAAGCCAAAATACCTTGGTGAAGGAGTTTCATGGCCATGCTGTCCAGTTCTTGTTTTGACTCAGTCCTCAGTTGTACCAGTGACAGGAGGTTCAGCAGCAGTGACAAGTTCTCTGAGACTGTGAAGAACATGGATAGCTGGTCAGGGAGCCTGGACACAGAGCATCTGAGTTCTCTATCTCCAAAGGGATGAGGAATTTACCCGTCTCCTATCTCCTTCCTTCTTTGTGGAATACAGAGCTAACTGGTACACTGAACACAAACTCCAGATTGTTATCAGGAATTCTCTATTTTACCTAAGTCCATCAAAAGTCACAGTATAGAATGGCATATGTCTGAAATTTATTACTTGGGAGAAAGAAGCAAGCAGACTGAGTTTGAGGCCAGCCTGGATAACGTTAGCTAAAACTTATCTCAAACACAAAATAAAATCAAAAGGGCTAAGAGTGAAACTCGAGTTATAGAACACTGGCCTAGCAAGCATGATGCCCTGGGATTTAATCTCCAGCACCAAGGAAAAACCACTCCCACATGAAACAAGAATTCTTAGTCCAGGCTGGGAAGGTGGCTCAGTGGTAGAGCGCTTGCCTTGCATGCCTGAGGCCCTGGGTTCGATTCCTCAGCACCACAAAAGCACAAAGAAAAAAGCCGGAAGTGGCACTGTGGCTCAAGTGGTAGAGCACTAGCCTTGAGCTGAAGAGCTGAGGGATAGCGCCCAGGCCCAGAGATCAGGCCCCACAACCAGACCAAAAAAAAAAAAAAGAATTCTTAGTCCTATTGTTCAGTTAAAAAATTGAGGCTCACAGTGGCTGAGTGACTTTTCTAACTCAGCTAATAAAAGGGAGGGTTAGATTATCTGAATGTTCGTGACCTCCTCAATTTTCCATGATGACCTCCGATGTGAAGGGAATTTGAAGGAGGTAGGGCATTTCATAAGGGCTGACTAGGTCATGCATAAGGACAGAGCCTCCAACAAATGGGATGGAGATTCCAAAAAGCTCCTTTCTTGCCTCTTCTGCATTAAAAAAAATGTTACAAAATGAGCCACACATCTACAGTATTCTGTTATAGCTGGAAAACACTAAGACACAGGAGCAGAACCTAAGTATGAATCTGGTACCTAGTACCTTTCTTACCACACATTTCCTTCCATCATATGGTTTTTGTTGTTGTTGTTTTAGCAGTCATAAAGCTTCAACTCAGGGCCTGGGCTCTGTCCCTGAGCTCTTTTGCTCAAAGCTAGTGCTCTACCATTTTGAGCTGCAGTGCTACTTCTGGTTTTCAGGTTAATTGGAGGGAAGAGTCTCACCCACTGTCCTGCCTTGGCTGGCTTTAAACTGCAATCCTCAGATCTCATTCTCCTGAGTAGCAAGGATTATAGGTGTGAGCCACCAGCGCTCACCATATTATGATTCTTAAGTATTATTATTATTTAAGTATGTCTTGTTCTTCCTTGCAGAGCAAAAACTCAGCTCCTTTAGATGCCTTTAAATCTGTCTCTAAACCCTAATTCTCAACTAAGTGAGTCATGTGTGTCCTACTTTTTCTGGATGGCTCAGAAAAAAATAGAAGACAAATAAATCCTATTAATTTCCAATCTCGTCATTACTGTACAAGACAACATTTCCTTGACTCCTAGACTTCCACTCCAAATTTGGAAACTATCCTTCTGAATCTCACTGGGAATTTCCAACTCACTACAAATCTAGTCCCCTCCCAGGACCCCTGCTAACTCCTGAGCCTCCCCCAGATTTCCACGTTCTTCTTCCTACTGAGGACTGCCATTCTGGTGACAAGTAGCTCTGAGCACATGCTACTTAGGGTGGGCACATGCACAAATACATCATATACACCCACTCATGTTAAACTCTCTCTCTCTTTCTCTCTCTCTCTTTCTTTCTCTCTCTCTCCCTCTCTCTCTCTCTCTCTCAAAACTGAACATGTTGTATCACATTGGCATGACTCCACTTGTGCAGAAAAACCCTTAATTCTCCCAGAGCTGACCTAACCAGGATAGAGCTGCCCACTCCTGCAGCTGGCCTTCAGGTCAAAAAAACCCCCAAGGCACTTGTAGACTGACTTCCTGCAAGGCAAGGGCTCTAGCACTGAGCCACCTTCCCAGCCCCCCCTTTTTTTTTGGGGGGGGGAGTCCGGTCATGGGAGACTGACCTCCTGATGGGAGGACTACATCCTCCACCAGCAGGTGTTGCAGGGTGAACAGGAAGTGGCCTCGGACAAGACTGCCTACTTGGATATCTTCATTCTTCTTCAGGAAGGTCTTCAGGACAATCAATACCTTGCGGGCTATGTCTGCTGGGCTGGAATAGATAAGGTCCTGCACAGGAAAGAAAGAAGGCAGAATTCAGAGGGTATCACAGCCTGGGTCAGGTAGAAAATAAGGAAGAGAGGAACAGGGGAAGTTTTCATGATGATAGTGTCACAGAAATGAATAAGCTCCTACTTATTCAGAACCCATTTTGTACCAAAGGCTCTGCTGGGTACACTGACTCCTCATGCACTCTTGACTAAGCCATTCTACTAATTCCATCCCAAGCTAGATTGAACAGAGGTTCCAACAGATTATGATTTGCCTAAGGCCACTTAAGCTATTTGTTACACAAAGGATGAATGTAAGTCTCTGGACTCCAAGCCCAACTCTCCTGCTTTTCAGGATGCCTTCTTCTTGCAAAAGAAAATATTAGGGTCAGGAAAAGGTTGTTTTCAGGACAGGGAACCTGAGGTGTGCCAGAAGGGAGAAAAGAAGGAGAGAGAATGGAGATGTCATAAGCAAGGAAAACAATAGGCTAGGACAGATTTAGGGCACAGAAAGGAAAAGTGAGGGCCAGGTCAAGCCCCTTCTGTGCCCTGGCATCTGCCTATCCCTGCCCCAAGCGATTAAAGGGTTTGGACTCAGAAAATGGGAAGGGACATTGGTTTTTGTTTTGCTATCAGAGTTATTTTAATGAGCGTATGTTAAAGGCAAAACCAGTCAGAAGCTGTACCAGTGCTTGTACTGCTGATAGCTCCTGGCACCTCCCAGCTCAAACAAGCCAATTCTTTTGGACAAGCTAATGTGTTAGGCCAGTTAGTACTGGGTGCTATGAATCCAAGGTCACACACAGAATCTCTCTCTCCAGGGAGGACAAATCCTGACATAGAGACCTGACTTCAGGGTAAACAAATCCTGCTGTGCTAACCACTGAGAAGTAGGGAAGGATAGGGGTACAGAGGCATCTGGCTTGGCTCTTTCCAAACTTCTGCAGATACTGAAGAAACAAATAAAAATATCAGTAGCAACTCCTCAGTGAGGGCTTAATAATGCATGTACGGTGTTGTGTTTGTGTAGTAACTGTGCATTTGTTTATATGCTGTTTCTGTCTTTACACTAACTCCTCTAATTAGGTATCACAGATATTTCTCAAATGGGGAAACTGAAGCGAATTAATAAGAAATTAGTAGTGTTATAAATTCTAGGGGCTGGGAAGGGAAGGTGGCTCAGACGTAGAGTGCTTGTCTTACATGCATGAGGCCCTGGGTTTGATTCCTTGGCACCATATAAGCAGGAAAAAAAAAAGCCAGAAGTGGTGCTGTGGCTCAAGTGGTACAGTGCTAACCTTGAGCTGAAGAGCTGAGGGACAGTGGCCAGGCCCAGAATTCAAGCCCCATGACCAACCAAAAAAAAAAAAGTCTATTATACTGTGTTAGTGAAGGGATAAGATATTCCACCTCTGACACTTTTTTATTTTTGGTGGGTTGTGGGTCTTGAACTCTGGGCCTGGGCGCTGTCCCTCAGCTCTTAAGCTCAAGGCAAGCACTCTACCACTTAAGCTACAGTGCCACTTCCAGTTGTCTGGTAGTTTATTGGAGATAAGAGTCTGATGGACCTTCCTGCCTGGGCTAGCTTTGAACTGTGATCCTCAGATCTCAGCCTCCTGAGCTAGCTAGAATTACAGGCATGAGCCACTGGCGCCCGGCTGACACTTTTTATGATTCAGAAAACACCTCCGGGCAGAGAAGATCACAGAACAGAGGGCTAGGAAAAAATCTGCATCATTTCAGAACCAAGCACAGTGGCACACACCTGCCATCCCAGGCTTGGAAGATTCAGGCAGGAAGATCTTAAATTAAGGCCCACCTGAACTAGCCATCGAGTTTGAGGCCAGCCTGGGATACTTAGCAAGACCCTTTCTCAAAAGATAATAACAATGTCTATATTATTCCATCCAACTCTTACTTCACGGAGTGGGAGAGTGGGAGAGTGATCTGCTCAAGGTCAAGGGGCCAAGTCAGAACCATTTTCCTGGTTTTACTTCTTCAGTGGCCCATGCCTGCCTTACTGCCATAGAGCTAGTCCCTCTGAAATCTGAGGTCTAAAAGGTCTAAAGATCTAAAAGGAAAGAGACTACTTGGTCTTTTGGTGTTCATAGTGAAAGCTGGGGAAAGTGTACCTTCCATCATCTGGGTTAAGTGGGAAGGTAGTTGGCAGAACTACATTTGCTGTTATCCACAGCTGTCCAAACTCTCTTAGGACTGGACCTATTAGGATGAGTTGGCCAAGCAAACAGCTTTGTGACATCATTGTTTTTCACATCTAAAACCACCTACAAAAACGACCACCCATTGATAATAGTAGTAATTAACAGCCTTGTTTTCAGCTGTTAATTACCCATATCAAAGCCAGAAATTGATACCAACACCTATTTTTAGACATTTTTCCCCTTCTTGTGGCAAGAAGCCAGGGAGAAAATGGTATGAATTATATACGTGAACAAAAACTTGTTCCTTGCTGTTCTTTTTTATCACTCCTACTTCTTTTCTTTCTCTCTTTTTCTTTCTTTTTTTTTTGTCGGTTGTGGGGCTTGAACTCTTGGCCTGGGTGCTGTCCCTGAGCTCTTAAGCTCAAAGCTAGTGCTCTACCACTTGAGCCACAGCACCTCTTCCAATTTTCTGGTGGTTTATCAGGAGGCTGAGATCTGAGGATCACAGTTCAAAGCCAGCCCAGTCAGGAAAGTCCATGAGACTCTTATCTCCAATTAACCACCAGAAAACTGGAAGTGGTGCTGTGGCTCAAGCACTTGCCTTGAGCTGAAGAGGTGAGGGACGACACCCAGGCCCTGAATTCAAGTCCCAGGACCTAGGGGGGAAAAAAACACAAAAAACTATTAGGGTCGCCAACAATTTTACTTATGCCTGCAAAAGTATGTTGAGCGAATAATATTATCATGTATGTCAACTCATGGGCCTACAGACGTGTCTGTCTATATGTCCTTGAGGCCTTCTTTGATCTTAAGACAGAATCAAGCAGAATCTGCTTGACAGAGTGGGTAGAAAAGTAAAAAGGAATGGTGACTAAGATCCACATTTTATAGTTACAACCTCTGGGGAGTAGAGAGGCACATTTCTATGAGTGGACAGATTTCTACCAGGTTTAGTAATGGGTATGGATTCATAGAAACCAGGTACCCACAAATAGGAAGTTATTTCCCACTCACATGCAGAAAGCCGTAAGTTCAGAAGTAGAAAGAAGCAGCTATGGGTGCCTCTTATTTCTGTCTCACAGAAGTCTGGGCATCGCTGAATGAATGAGTGGTCACCTACCATCAAAATGAGCAGAATGCTGGGGCTGCTTCTGAGTATCTGGAACAGGTCTGTGAAGCTGGGAGGAAGGGTGGGCTGTTCAGCAAAAGGGACATCATCCAGTTCCTCATAGTTGCTCCCTTCAAAGGAGAACCAAAGTTCCAGAACACGGTGCCCAAACCTACTCATCAACTCTGGATACACCAGGAAGAACCTGAGCAGGTGGGGGTGGTGAGTGTAGACCAAGTACAAGTCAGAGATGCTCTCTAGGAATTTTCTGATTGCACTAACCACTGTCTGGAGGCAAAAGAAAGAAAGGAATTAAATGCACTTTGCAAATGATCTGAGACCCCTGTCTAACCAAGACATGACTAGAGTAAGTGTACTGACATCTCAGGACTGAGCTACTAGATTATCACTGGCTTATCTCCCAAGGCACTCTGGTAAGAAAACTCCCACAGTATTTACAATAGTTTTCAATTGGAGTTGATTTTATTCCCCATGGAAGCTTTGACAAAGTCTAGAGATATTTTTTTTAATTTTTTTTTGGGGGGGGTCCGGTTGTGGGGCCTGAACTCTGGGCCTGGGCGCTGTCCCTCAGCTCTTCAGCTCAAGGCTAGCGCTCTACCACTTGAGTCACAGCGCCACTTCCGGCTTTTTTCTTTTTGTTTATGTGGTGCTGAGGAATCAAACCCAGGGCCTCAGGCATGCAAGGCAAGCGCTCTACCACTGAGCCACCTTCCCAGCCCTCTAGAGATATTTTTAATTTTTACCTTGATTGATTCAGAAGTGCCTAGGAGATTATTACTCCAGGCTTTGACTACAAAAACATTTCCAGAGAAGATTAAGTGGGGAGATAGGTCTGCATGTGTATGGCACCATTCCATAGCTAGGAGCCTAGATAGAATAAAATGAGAAAGTACAGGCATTGTCTTTGTTTCCCAGCTGTCATGATATGAGCTTCTCTGCTCTGTTAGTACTAGAATCACTGAAATCATGAGCCAAAAAAAGGCTTCCTCCCTGAAGTTGTTTTCTCAGGTACTTTGTCACCTATGGAGACCATCTAAGCAACGTAACTACTCTAAGAGTTAGGGTTTGAACTTGGATCATTTTGGTCTTTGACCCAATTTGAATTAGTTTTTGTGTAAGACATAGAAGGTGCCGGGCGCCAGTGGCTCATGCCTATAATCCTAGCTACTCAGGAGGCTGAGATCTGAGGATGACGGTTCAAAGCCAGCCCGGGCAAGGAAAGTCCGTGAATCTCTTATCTCCAATAATCCCCCAGAAAACTGGAAGTGGCGCTGTGGCTCAAGCTGTAGAGCACTGGCCTTGAGCTGTAGAGCTGACGGATAGCGCCCAAGCCCAGAGTTCAAGCCCCATGACCGACCAAAAAAAAAAAAAAAAGACATAGAAGGTAAGTGTCCAACTTTATTATTTTATGTGTAGATATCCAGTTGTCCTTGATGATTTGTTTAGTATTATTTCCCTTATTGAATTATTTTCTCACTCTTACCAAAAATAAAATTATGAATTTATTTCTGGACTCTCATTCCTAGTATACTGGTCTATATTGAACACTTATCCCACACTATCCTGACATTTTCTTTAGTACTATAGATTGAACTAAGGGCCTCATCCTTCTTAGGCAAGCACTCTACCACTTGCAGCCCATTTTTACATTGGTTATTTTCAAGGTACTGTCTCAATTTATGCTTAAATTAGCCTGTTCTGTGATCTTCCTACTAGTGCTCCCCCGCATAGCTCCCCCCATTGCTAAGATGGAGTCTTACAAACTTATTTTGAACGGTTATCCCGCATTACTATAGCTCTTTGAGCGCTGAAATCAGTATGTTCTTAATTTTCAAGATTATTTTGCCTAATTTGGCTCCCTTTCATTTCCAAATGAATTTTTGGACCAGCTTGTTCATTTTTGAAAAAAAGAATAAAACAGCTGGAATTCTGGTAGAGATTGCATAGAATCTATAGATCAATTTGGGGATTACTGCCACCTTAACATGTTTAAGTCTTATGATTAATGAACACAGAAGGCTATTTATTTAGGTCTTTTTAATTTCTTGAAAAAAATTAAAGAAACAGAAATAGTTTGAAAATATTACTGTACAAATTGCTTTATATTTTTAAGTTTAATCCTAAGTATTTAATTTCTTGATGTTATAGTAAATGGTATTGTTTTAATTCCATTTTCAAGCATGCTACTAAAGACTTAAGTCTACCTTTTGGCTCCTCTCCATTCTATTCCCATATAACTTAGCTAAGGCATATTGAACTGGGCTTCCTTCCTTCAATAGAATTGGCAGCTTCTCCATCCCTCTTCCTACTTCATGGTGCTGGAGATGAAAGCATACTATGTACCATTGATTTATATCTCCAGCCCCAATTTCTTACATCTGTATCTTAAATTATGTTCTACATTCAGCCTGAAAGTTAACTCTTCATTTCCCCCAGTCATTCCTATGTGCTTTGCTGGTTCTTGACTGGTCCTCCAGCTGCAGGAGACCACTCAATGCTGAAGTGGCTTATCTAACATCTTTTTTAATCTCCCGGCAAATTGGTGCTCTCAGAGCATAGAGAAATTGTTTGATTCATCCCAAATTGACAGGGGTCCACAAGGCATCTCTTATTAAATGGACAATCTATGTTAATTGAGTTGATAAAATGGTAAGCAGCAAATAAAAATCCATATACATTGAGTAGTATTCAAGACTTAAGAAACGCCGATCAAAATGGAATGAAATTGCTGAGAAGGAAATGTTTCCAGAGATAGGTATAGTGTGATACTCTGAAATTTCCATTATCCCAGACATACCCACACTCCAGTTGCTGGGAGTCCACATATACAATGGCCCATCTCCTGCTTTCCACAGAAGATGAAGGATTGTGAGTGTCAAAAGTGATCCTAGAGCCAGGCACCAGTGGCTCATGCCTGTAATTCTAACTACTGAGGAGGCTAAGATCTGAGGATTGTGGTTCGAAGCCAGCCCTGGCAGAAAAGTCTGTGAGACTCTCATCTCCAATAAACCACTCCAAAAAAACCAGAAATGGCACTGTGGCTCAAGTAGTAGAACACCAGCCTTGAACACAAAGAGGCTCAGGGACAGCGCCAGAGCTCTGAGTTCAAGCCCCAGGATCGATCAAAAAAAAAAAAAAGTGATCTCAGAAATGACTCTTGCCAAACCTGTTCTGAATGGCAGGTCCAAGGCCCACAAAGAAGCAGACATTCCCAGGGATGTGAAAGACATTAGTGGAAAAATCTGAATGTGGATTCACTTCTGTGCAAAGGGAATTCACAAGTAGAAAATAGCAAGGCAAATATACTTTTTACCTGACTTAAGTCACTGTAACCCTTCTGTACATCACCTTTATAACAACAACAAAAATTTTAAAAGTGAAAATAGCAAGGCAGCCTTCTCATAGAAGATACTAAATGAGGAAGGGAAGTTCAAAGATGTAGGCAAAAGAAAGACCTGGGGGCTAGCAGGTAACTCTTGAAGAAGTCCTTAAGGTTGTATATTAGGCCATCTGTCCTGTGCAGTCCCATTACCCATCAAGACCCTCAGTGAGAGCTGGGCACCGGTGGCTCACGCCAGTAATCCTAGCTACTCAGGAGGCTGAGATCTGAGGATCAGGATTCAAGGCCAGCCTGGGGCAAGAAAGACTGTGAGACTCCTATCTCCAATAAACCACTAGAAAACTGGAAATGGCGCTGTAGCTCAAGTGGTAGAGCACTTGCCTTGAGCTGAAGAGCTGAGGGACAGAGCCCAGGCCCAGAGTTCAAGCCCCACGACCGACCAAAAAAAAAAAAGAACCTCAGTGACCAAAAAGAATGTTCCACTCCCCATTCGAAAGCCAGCTACCTACAACAGAGCTTCTCTATATTCAGAAGCTAAATGAACCTTAGTCTGCCTTCTTTCTCATTTTTTTTCCTCACTGTTGTTTTCTTTTCCTTCCTTCCTTCCTTTCTTTTTTTTTCTTTCTTTCTTTTTCACCAGTCCTGGGGCTTGAACTCAGGGCCTGGGCTCTGTCCTTGAGCCTCATTGTGCTCAAGGTTAGTGCTGTACCACTTGAGCCACAGCACCACTTCTGGCTTTTTTGAGCAGTTTATTACAGATAAGAGTCTCATGGGGCTAGGAAGGTGGCTCAGTGGTAGAGTGCTTGCCTTGAATACATAAGGCCCTGGGTATGGATTCCTCACCACCACATAAGCAGAAAAAGCCGGAAGTGGCACTGGGGCTCAAGTGGTAGAGCACTAGCCTTGAGCTGAAGAGCTAAGGGACAGCACCCAGGCCCAGAGTTCAGGCCCCATGACCGACAAAAAAAAGAGTCTCATGGACTTTCCTGCCTAGACTGGCTTCAAACCACGATCCTCAGATCTCAGCCTCCTGAGTAGCTAGGATTATAGGCATAAGTCATCAACTCACAATCCAAACAGAATAACTTCCTTCAGGCTTAGTGGTATAGTGCTTGCCTAGCATGCATGAAGCCTTGGGTTCGATTCCTTAGTACCATATAAACAAAAAAAAAATCAGAAGTGGTACTGTGACTCAAGTGATAGAGTGCTAGCCTTGAGCAAAAAGGAAGCTCAGGGACAGTGCCCAGGCCCTGAGTTCAAGCCGCAGGACTGGCAAAAAAAAAAAAAAGTTGAATAAAATGAATAAATGAGAGAAAAGAGAAAACTCACCCTAATAGAATTCCAACAAAAAATATAGAAGTAGTTGGAGTTGTGGTTTATGTCTGTAATCCTAGCCACTTGGAGGCTGAGATCATAGGATTACAGTTCAAAGCTAGCCTCAGGCAGAAAAGTCCAAGAAACTCTATCTCCAACTAGCAATAAAGCTTAACTTGGTTCAAGTGCTACTCGGCAGCTAGGGCAACAAAGAAACAAGCTGAGCAAGAGTACAAAGCCCTAATTACAAAAATGATCAGCTATCCACTTTGTTTGATGAATATCACCAGAAAGAGATAAAATACCTCACAGCTCTCTCCTTCACAAACCAGACTAGTGTCAAGGAAAGAGCCTTGAGAATCAGGTGAGTCTAGGTGGAATACTGGCTCCTCTATCAATTTATTGTGTGCCCTAGAGAAAGTTACTTTCACATTTTCTGATCTATGAAATGGAAATACAATCTCCACCTCCCAAGACTGTTGAGAGAATTAGTTAACTTATATACGCTCTGTATGTATCAGCCCTCTCCTCCTCTCTACTTCTGTTCACTACCATTGTCTTTCCATCTCTATTTATGTATCTATGTATGTATGTATCTATCTATCTATCTTCTATCTATCATGTTCCACCAAGGAATATTAGCAGAAAAAGGTACCAGAAGAGGAGAGCCCCAGTAATCTGACCCATACCTCACGCAGTACACTGTCCTTGTCTTGGCAGATTGCAAGCAGATAGATAGAGGCTCTGCAGATTACTGGTGGTGGAAGCTCACCCTGGTCCTGTAGAGATAGGAGGAAGCTTTGCACAGCCTCCAATAACTGTGCCGCTGGGACAAACCTGTTGACCAAAGAGATCTTTTAGTGAGAAAGGCAGAACTGCAGGGTCAATGAACGCTCCTATCCTGCCTGGCCACATTGTCGCTAAGATTACTGTTCTGCCTAAGTGTGCCCACAGCCTCCATGCTGTATAGACTTCCACACATTGCCATACATTTCCATCACAGATAGCCCTTGTGCAAGACTGCTGTGGGACCAAGACTGCTCAGTCACACTTATCTATGAGTTGAGCCAGCACTGTTAAAGAAAGAAAGCTATTGTGTGGTTCAAAAGGCCCTACTTTAGCAGGCTGTCCATCTCATTCTTCTCATATTTATCATTAGACAATTGTGTGGACTTATATACTCAAAGCAGATACTGGAACAAGAGGAGGGCAGGAGAATTCTATGATAGTTTTTTTTTGTTAGAATATGAAAACTACATGCAAATATATAACATCTTCTCTACTAACCAATAAGTTCCTTGAAGATAAGTATTGTCTTTTTATTTGTTTATATTTATTTATATATTTGTAGACCTAGAGTTTTGAACTCAAAGCCTTGTGCTAGACAAGCAGGCACTTTACCACTTGAGCCAGGTCACTAGCTCATGAGTATATCTTGTCTATTAAAAGTAATTTTAATAATTATAATCATAATCACCTTTGGCCAGGCACTGATGGTTCATGCCCATAATCCTAGCTACTCAGGAGGCTGAGATAGAAGGATCACAGTTCAAAGCTAGCCTAGGCAGGAAAGTCTGTGAGATTCTTATCTCCAATTAACCACAAGAAAAACCAGAAGTGGAGCTGTGGTTCAAAGTGGTAGAGTACTAATCTTGAGCAAAAGAGCGCAGGGTCAGTGTCCGGGCCCTGAGTTCAAGTCCCACAACCGAAAAAAAAAACACTAAAAGTTAAAAAATGCTGAACACTAAATACAGTATAGTATCTTGGATTGTGTTCTCAGACAGAAAGAGGACAGTAGCAGTAACTGGTGAGATATCGATCAAGTCTAGCTAATAGCTGTGAGCCAGTATTTTTAGCTTCTTTGTGTTCTTTTGTTCTTGTTTTTTTTTTTTTTTTTGCTAGTCCTGGGCTTGAACTCAGGGCGTGGGCACTGTCCCTGAGCTTCTTTTGCTCAAAGCTAGCACTGTACCTCTTGAACCACAGTGCTAATTCTGGCTTTTTCTCTTTTTGTTTTGTTTTGTTTTTTGGTTGGTCATGGGGCTTGAACTCTGGGCCTGGGAGCTGTCCTTTAGCTCTTCATTTCAAGGCGAGTGCTCAACCACTTGAGCTACAGCGCCACTTCCGGTTTTCCAGTGGTTTATCGGAGATTAGAGTCTCACAGACTTTCCTGCCCGAGCTGGCTTTGAACCATGATCCTCAGATCTCAGCCTCCTGAGTAGCTAGGATTACAGGTGTGAGCCACCGGTGCCCGGCTTG